TCTAATTCATACATACACGTAGAATATTAAATAGTAATTTGTAATAATAAAAATTATGATAAATATATTATATTTAATGAATATAGTATTTAATAATATTATTTTACATTAAAGTGTATCATATTTATTAAATATAGTATTTAATATTATATTAATATAAAAGTGTAGTTAATTATTCTTAATTATGAATTCATGTCATATAGCTATTTTTATTTGTCTTGATGAATTAATTACTTTTTTTTTTTTTTTTGTAAAAATAACTAAACTATATCTTTGTGTATGTTCGTGTTTACATGAATTTTATTTTATATATCTTTGTTTATCTTTTTCATTTAGAAATATTTAGAAGAAAATATAAGTTATTTAATTTTTTTATATTTTTATTTATATAATCAATTTTAAAATCAACTTTATAATATGATTATTTATTTTTTAAATTAAATTTGACAATTTCAACAAGATATTTTGAAACAATAATAAATTAGTGAAGTTTATTACTTTTTTGTAGTCATTTATTTTTCTAAAACTAGTTATCCTATCAAAAACAAAATAAACTAAAAACCAAATAAAAATGTATAAAAAGACAAAAAAAAATATATGATAAAATGTCATTCTATTATTTTATCTATGAAATTTTTAACTTCTTTTCATTAAATTTATTATTTTACTTCTTGGACTAATTAATATTTTATTAATTTTATTGTAAAAAGCGACAACAGTGTAACTTAATTAAAATTGATCAAATAAAAAAATTGTTATATAGGTAGATTTTGGATCAAAATTTTAAATTTAAATTGAGTCTTGAAAATAGATTTTAATTTTTTGAATTTGGATCTGAATTTTATATTTAGATTCTAAATTGTGAAAATAAATTTGAATTTCGATTTTAATTTTATCTTTTATTTAAGATTTTGAGAATCAACGTTAGATAACATAAAATTAGAGTTTTTGAAAATTAGGTCATAATTTTTAGATTCTACATTTTATAAAAAAATATCTTAATCTATTTGGTAAAGATATATTTGAATTATTCTTCTCTCTACGCGTTAAAATTCTAAACCTTTCTTCTTAAGTTTGTTTCTTTCTTTCATTCTTCGTCGTAAAGTTATGCTTCTATTTAGACAAATCAATAATAATAAAAAAAATTTCTTATTAATTTTTGTTTATGCAAATTTTGTGTTTAGTTATTTTTGTTTTCATCTTTATGATAATGTGTAACAAAATATCTTTTGTCAGGGAGCTGAGGTAAATTATTATGATGTAACCTCTTTTAAATCTTAATTTGATTTTATACAATTATTATTAACCGTCGATTGAAATTATGTCATTATTGTTATTTATATTCTTGAATTGATCACTCAAGGGTTGATCTTAGTTAATCAATACTATTAATAAGTTAATTAGAACTAAAAGGTAATTTGAGTTTGAGAATTAATAGGATCATCAATCTATCACCTGAACTTCTAATCAATTAACAAGTTTATGATCGTTAGAATGATGTATAGATTATAATTATTACAAAATTATTGTATAGTTGTAAAAATTAATTAGATGATAATTACTCTAACATAATTGAATGAATTGAATTAAGGACATACCTGATCATAAGAGGAAACTAAAGCCTTGAGGCTTTAATCCATATCAAAATAAGCATGCGATTTCTTGGTTTTTCTTTTGATTCTAAATTTTATTTTAATCTAAACATTCTCAACCTTTTGATCTACTTAACATCTAGAAAATAATAGTAATAAGTGTTTACAATATGGTTCCTGTAGGAATGATATTCGGAAGGTCTCAAACACTCTCCTTTACTACTATTGACAGGCATACTTGTATGTTAGTTGACAACTTTTTGAGACTTCAAAATCTGCAACAATGTAGCAAATGAAGTGAGAACAAATGAATAGTTCACTACACTTCAGAATGTAATGTTGAATAAATTATTTTAAATATCTAATTCTCTTTGAACAACTTTTGCTTGTTTGCATTCATGAATGACACTTGTATCATCGAACATTTTGACCTCTAATATAATGTTAAAAGAGTAAATGCAGTTTTATCAAAGAAGTGTCCTTGAGATTTTAAGCAACCTTCACACTCCTCTGTTATTTATTTTTAGCTCAGATTTAGAAATGCATATGATACTTAATTCGGTGATCATTATCTCAACACAACTTAGATTGACTTACATAATACTATATTAATTTTGCATAATATTTTATCGAAACCGGCTTTGATCAAATTGGTAACGAACCAAGATGGAAAGTAATTTTTCACTAGATGAATACTAACATATAATTTGCCGCAACTATCAAAATTTTCAAAAAAAAAAAAAAACTATTTGAAACTAATTGAAATTGAATTTATTTAATCAATATCACTAAACACTATTATAAAAATAATCATAATATGTTAATGCAAAATTTACAACTAGGACGGCATTACGCTAATGCAAAGCAAGTGTTAATGAATTGTAACTCTTACTCACTGGACTACATTGACTAATTAAAATGTGATTGAATCTTAGTTATGGACTAATGTTCCTAGCAACAATGCCAATTTGATCAAAGTTACTTTTGATTAAAATATTATGTAAAATTAATGTAATATTAGGTAAATTAATCTAGGTCATATTCCTAAAAATAATGATAGTTAAACTAAGTATTATATGTATTCTAAACATCAATTAAAATTAATTAACAAGAGAGGAGTTAAAAATTGATTGATTCTTAATTAAAAACACATAACAAAATAAATAAATCAACAATGATCACTAATAGATCAATTCTCCATTCAATTCAATAATAAAATTATTATATGTTATTAATTATGAAACTAAAATTTTGTTTTCACTCTTACTTTGATCTAAAATGATTAATTACTAAATATATTAAAAGAAATTCCTAATGTGGATAGCGCACAAAATACTCATTGAATTTGGATTAAGCAATTAAGCATTTTCTAATTATAATTCAATTATCATCAATTGAATTTTATTCAACCTTATACATGCAGTTAAAGCAACTCAAATATGATTTCCAATCATAATCCAAATTACAAAATTAAGCATTATTGTACTTAGAAGTTCTTTCTTAATAATGTATTAAGGATCTAATTGAAATTTGAATATCATAAAGCATGCCCATTAAAAGAAACTATATAAAATTTAAGAAAGAAGAGATAAAATATACTTAAATTTGATTAGAACAAAACCTCAAACTTCAATTATTGAAATCAAATTGGAGAATTGATTCTCAAGTGTTTAACCATCCATGTTCAAGTCCTCAAATGCAGAAAAATAAAACATAGAAAAAGAACACAAACAAGAACAAAAATAAAAACTGATTTCAAAATTCAAATTCCTTATTCTAAAAAATAACCAAAAAAATTAAAATATAGTTTAAAAACATCCTAAAGAAGAGGAAATTAAGTTATTTATAATAATCACAATCAAGTCTTCTCTAATTAATACAAATTCAAAACATAATGGACCCTTAGACTTTGTTTGAGAATTGATTTTGGAGGGAAAGAGAAAATTTTGTGATGTTTGAGTTTTTTAAGATGATAGTTGAAGGTTCATAGACCCTGCTAATATCATATTTTTAAGTTCTTATAATTTACAGAGTTTTATATTAATCATCTTTCCTTATTCTCTCTCCTCTCCTTCTTACCCTTTAAACCATTTCCTTTACTCTCCCTAAAACTCTGAAACAAAGTCATAACATATTTAATTAAACTTACTAAAATTGTAATTTAATGGTTGTTGCATGCAGTTGTAGTGGTTCAACTTACATAGATAATATCTTTTAATTCCAAAATTCATTGTATGTGAAATTGTCTATTAAATTGAGACTCTGAAAAGAAGATTTTCAATGAAATAAGAATCACCTTAAAATTTGACCTACATCTCAAAATATCATCAAAATATTAAACATAGGTCAATGTTGTTAAAACTCCAAAATTAGAATGTTTTGATCATTTAAATTCAATGAAGATCTCAATAAATGCAATTAATTCAAAGTAATGAAATACTAGTATCATGTAACTGTAGTTAAAATATAATTAAAATATGATTCACCAAGGAGTAGTTATAGTAATATCAAATAAGTATCATCAAGATTTCAAGCATTTGATGTTGCAAGAATAATGGTAGTTAATAATTACTACACTTAAATTTTAATTAAATCTCTTGGTCAATTAAAGAAACATGAGAGAAAAATAAAGTAAATATTTCATTACTATTTAATACTTTCACTCTTGATATTTATTTGAGAAAGTAAAACACATTAGTAAAGAAATTAGTTATTAAGTAAGTGCATTGTTTGAGTTTATTTAAATATTTAACTATTTTATTTTAAATTAAATAAAAATGATAATTATTTAATTTTCATATTTTTTATTTAGATATTTTATTTACATTATCAACTGTTATTGGCTTTTATGTTTTCAGCTACTTCTCATAACCAACTCAATCTTTAAATTGTGTTATTAGCAATTAATGATCCAAAAATTATCGATATATTCTTTTCTACATACTTTTAACTATTAATTAAAATGCATTAAAAGTTACAAAAATAATGAAAGTCTTGTTCTTTCCTACTAATAATTTAATTAATAATTATTAATAAATTTAAAACAATAACTAAGTATGTTAGAGTTTATTTCTAATTCTCTTGTTAATTATAATTATTAATTCCAATTCACATGTACAGTGTTAAATGTAATTTGTAATCAATAATAATAAATATTATAAATATATTAAATGAATATATTATTTTATTATACTGTTTTAGTTTATTGTATATTATATGTAATTGAAATAGTAGTTAATGTTATATTAGTATAATAACGTAGTCGTTTTTACTTATATAAATAGATTTGTAAAAGAAAAGAGGAGGTCCATTCATATTTTTCGGTACAGATAATGTACACAAAACAAGAGGCCCAAAATACTTGCAGCCAACACACTTTACATTTGGTCCAGCTGCACCAATACGAATATCAAATATAATATCAAATCCATTCGCCAATACCAATATCATGTTTTCTAACTCGTGCAAATACATCCTTCCACTGTTATGAAAAGATGATTGCTCTCAAACCCATTCATCCTTCATTCAGTCCTACCAATATCAAATATAATATCCACCACAACAGCAGACTCCTGATCACAAGTTCTATTTTGTGCCTCTGCAAGTCCCATGAATCTGATTCTCAAGCTCCCCAACCGGGAGATATTCAAAAACAAGAACTGCTAGCCCAAATTGCCATGATTCAAACTCAAAAAGTCCGTCTTACAGATTATTTAGACGAGAGATCTGCATATTTAACCCAATTTGGTGAAGAAGCCAAGACTGAGTTTGACAAGATTGGAGAGGATGCCCTCAAAGGATTAGATGAAGCTCGTGAAAGAGTATGCTTCAACTTTAGAGTTAACAACATAGTACATGTTTAGTTTGTGTTTGGAAAGTTACAAACCATTGTTTAGCAAAAGTTTGTTTCTTTGCCGAACCCAACCCAAACAATCTCAGGGACCTGTTCAGGGGTTTACCGAAAATCTACACATGAAAGGTGCTTCAATAATGACCTCTTCTTTGTTTGTGTTTAACAGATAACAGCAAACATAGAAAGCCAGATGCTAGAATTTGAAGAATCTGCAGAACTTAACAGACAAGAGATTCAGGAGCGCGAAAACAAACTAGACGAGTTTGAAGTTCAAATGGAGGATGGCAGAAACGAAGGGCTATTCTTTAAGAGGCTCAGAAAGAGGGCACCTGTTGATAAAGCAAAAGCCAAGGAGGAGGCAGAAAAAATCAAAGATGTAGCCAGAGAAAAAGCAGGTAGCAAAACCAGGAAAAGCATGTACCTCTTCTTTATTGGCCTGCTGACCTTTGCAATAGGTGACTCTATAGCCTCATCATCAACTGATTGGAGAAAAGTAGCAGTTCTTGGAGCTACTCTTGTGGCTTTAATTTCTCAGTTCATCTATGAACAAAACATGTCATCAGAAACTGAAACAAGAAGAAAGATCAACAATGAAGAGGAAAATAAGTGAAGTTCAATTTTTATTGTGATTCACTGCATGTTTCATTGAAAGACAATATTATTAATGTATATTGCGTGATGCAATAACCCCAAGTGAAAGCTTGTAACTTGGGCCTGATAACATCATGCATTTTTGCTTTGGCATCGACAGCAGCAGATATTGGTGATATAACTACAATCACCAAAATCTGAGTAACAGGATTACCGTGTGATGCTGATGAAATTTTTCACATCCTATATATATAGAAAAACGTACTCATATCCACATCCTAGCTTTTATATCTCTGCATCTTCAGTCATATAAACAATTAATGAGAAACTAATAACTACACAATATCATTCCTTTCTGTACAGCTTAACAAGTTGATCAATAAAATAGAGAAGTATAGTAACTGGCTTGCAGCCTGAAATTCCCAAAGCCTTAAATTAAACAATCTACTCATGTAAAGCTTGAGGCAGACAAATATCCCACAAATTTACGTGAGGCAGACAAATATCCCAGACACAAAAGCACATGACCATTACCATTCACCCAACCCCAAACTTTAGGCATCCTGACGGCATGCTTTATTGCATCCCAAGTACCCAACACTATGGTAAGTGCCTGTTTGACTTAGATGTAAGCCAATGCCACCGGGTAAGTGCCCAGGGGCTTCAAATTTCCTTCCAACAAAATGTTATCAGGAAGCATATAATTGTCTTAATAATCTTAAACATGCTCAAAAACATGCTGCTAGGGCTCAAACCTAAACATCCCAGGGATCCCTTTTATTTTGGGAAACCAACAAATTGCTTGTATTTTACTATAATGGCCATAGTTGATGTAGACAACAACTGAAAGAAAAGAGCAGGAGCTGCTTTAATCTATTTTAGAGTGCACAAAAGAATCATGTCGAAGCCCCGTAAAAAATCACGGCTCTAACTAGTATATTCCAAGTAATAGTAGTTGGCATGACACCATGCTCCAAAGCATCATCTAGAAACCCAATTGCATCTGTCACTCTACCATAGGAGCAGAGACCCTTAAGTGTAATGTTATAAGAGATGATATCAGGTTGTAGCCCATCTTCTGAGATGTGAGACCAAATGTTTCCTGCTTTTCCACAGGCCCCAACTTTGTAAAAACCCTGCATGATGGTATTGTGGGTCACAAGATTAACAAAGTTCCTCTTCCTCATCATTGAATAGAGCTGCAGAGCATGCTCCACTTTGCCAGAAGAACAAAGTCTATGGATGACAATGTTGTACATAGTGATATCATGCTTAATCCCTGTGTCCAGAAACTGATGCCACAACCTAAGCGCTGTGTCCATCATTTTGTTCTCATAAAGACCATTTATCAAGGTGCAGTATGTGACAATATTAGGTTTCGATCCTTTTTCCAACATTTCCTTAATGCAATCACAAGCCTCAAGAAACCTTTCTGCTCTTAACAATCCATTTATTATAATATTATACGACACCACAGTTGGTGAGCAACCTTTGATGTTCATTTCCCTAAATACTTGAATCGCACTGTCAAGTTTGGAATGCTTAACAAACCCATGAATCAGTGCATTGTAGACATGAGAGTTCAATTTACAGCCACGCTTATTAATAAGTTCAATAACTCCAGCTGCCTCATCAAATCTTCCTTCTTTGCACAAAACATTTATCATCGATGAGTAAGCAAAGGCATCCACATCACCTCCCTTATATTCAGCCTCTTCCAACACCTGCAAAGCCTTATTCACATACCCATTCCTACACAAACCATGAATTAACACACCATAAGTAGCAGAATCCACACTACCTGTCTCACACAAACCATCCCACAATGACACCGCTGCTTCCACCTTCCCATTCTCGAACAACCCCTTGAGAAATATGTTATAACTTACCACATCCCGCAAACCACACTTCCCCATCTCCTCCCACAACTCAAAACTTTCCTCAACCATCCCTGCTTTACACAATCCATTAAGCATAGCATTACAAGTAACAACATCGGGCCTAACCCCTCTCTCAACCATCTCCCCATAAACCCGTTTTGCCCCATCCAAGTTCCCCGCCTCACTCAACCCATGAATCAAAGAACTATATGTGAACAAATCGTGCCTCCTCTCATTTCTCTTCATCCTCTCCCATATCTCCAAACCCTCACTGAACCTCCCACACTTACACAACCCGCTAATCATAACATTATAACTCACAACATTAGGAAACACCGAATCCTCCCTCAACAACCTCTCCCACATCTCACTAGCCTTCAAAAAATCTCCTTTTTTAAAAAACCCATCAATTATCATGTTGTAACACATGACATCAGGTTCCAACCCTCGTTCACGCATTTCATCAAACAATTCAAGTGCAAGCTTTAAATCCCTACTTTTCGCCACAGCACTGATCAAAGTACCATAGGTGATTTTATCAGGGTTCATTCCCACACCCCACATCCACGTCAGCAACCCCTTAGCCTTCTCAAACTCTCGCTTCTTACACATAACCTTCATGAGAACATTGTAAGTCTCACGGTTCGGAGACACACGCGCGGTTTCGAAATAATTGAAGAAGTTCTCAGCGCGTTCCCATTGGCGCGATTCGACGAAGGCGTTGAGGAGAGAGTTGAAGGACCTCACGCCGGGGGAGCACCCAAACACGTGTGGCATTGTTTGGAACAAGTGTAAGGCTTCGTTGGGCATCGAGGATTTGGCGTAGGCTTTGAGGAGCGTGAGGGGAACGTCTTCGGGGCAGTTGCAGCGGTGCGCGTGGATGGTTGACACGATGCCAGGCGCGTGGGAGAGGAGGAGGGAGGGGTCGGTGGCCACTCGCCGGAGGATGTGCAGGAAAACCTCGGGGGAGTGAGCGAAGCCGGGGCGGCGCGTGGCGGCATCGAAGAGTTGGAGAGCGTTGAGAGGGTTCTTCTCCGCTTTGAGAAGTTTGAGAAGACGATGCGGTGACATAGACTTGGGAAGGTCTACCATGGCATGGACAATGGTAAGTTGGCTTACCTAAGTTTCCATTGCATACTTTTGGAATACTAACTTCAGAGAAAATGTACGTTTGATTTTAAGATTTTAAAATTGTGATAAATTTTTTTTAAGAAAATTAAAAGGAAGCAAAGAATTCATATTTTGTTTGTTATAAAATACATAACAGAAGAAATTAAGGAAAAATATAATTAAAAATGCATTATTTAAATACATAAAAAATTAAAATAAATTATTTACTCATTTAAATAAGTGAAAGAATAAATTAAAAATATATAAAAACTTATAATTTTTTTTACATTTTATAGTATTTATATTTAAATTTATATATATAGTATATTTTGATTAATTGATGATAACAATATCCTACAAGTTATTATTATTATTATTATGAACCTCACACCTAAAGATTTATTCCATTCATATTATTCACTCTCGTCTAATAAGTAACTTTACATATTTATCTATGAATCTTAACTCTCTCATGTCTATTTTTCACATCCTTAATCTAGTCATCCAAATATAACGTGAGAAAGGGAAAGATATAGATGTTTCGTGTTTTATTCACATTTTATATCAAAATTTATTTAAAAGCTATCCACTTTGTAAATATTATTCATATTGTCCCCGTAGACGGAGATGCTACCGTATTATTTATTTGTTAAAATTTATTAAAAATATAAGTAAAAATTATCACACCATTAAAAACATCTTGATTAATAAAAAGTGTATTAAATGATATTTTATTAATATTTCAGTCGTAAATTATCATATCATTGAGAATAGTTAGGTTTAATAATGATTAAAAAATATATTTACTATATTTTTTAAATAGATAATAGTATAAAATCATTTGTTCCGATAGTGAATAAAAATTAAACTCTTTATACTAATAGGTAAAAGAAAATTAATAAAAATATCTCCTTTTATAATTATCTATGATATTCTCAAGATCAATGTATCGTTATCCAATAAAATCACATCCTTATCAAAAGAAATCAAATCAAATAAATGATAGGCATCTACAGAATAAGGAAATTCATAAACTTCTCTTGCCATACGTTCATGATTAAAGAATGACCATTTGAATTAGTATTTGAAGAGCTAATTTATATTTACTATGAGAATCATCGTACTTATTTTATTCATATTTATCTTCAATCTTTGATTAATGTAGTTCTTAATTTTATGTCATTTCACTTGTTATCCATTTTTAAGGTGTCGAAGTCGGTGATAAAGAAGATGTTAATTGTTCTAATTCATTGTGGGTGCGGGTATTGGAATATAGGTATGGAAGATTAGCTTCTTCTATTTAACATCCACCAGTCTACAACAAATGTTCTTTGTGGTAGTGTGATTTGATGGAGGTTATTCATCAAGGGAATTATTGACTGGATGAGAAGTTTGATAGGAGTGTAGGTGCAGGTTTACACACTTTTTTTTTGAGAAATAAGTGGGTAGGTAGGATGCGATTGTATGAGGCATTTCCGTGATTGTTTGCGGTGGCGAGGAATGCTGAACCATGTGTTTTGGAGAATAGTTTTCATGATGGCACTAAGTGGGTTTGGAATGTTAGTTGGCGAAGAGGACTCTTTCAACATGAGATCTTAAACTTTAATCTTTTGCTGGAGCTTGTGGATGGAGTTTCTATTAAGTTACTACAAGAAGATAAATGGGTATAGAGGGCAGATTCTTCAGGTTTTTATTCAGTACAATCTGCGTATTCATGACTATTTGAACTTTTTGGTGGTCATAATAGTGTAAATCAGTGTACGGAAGATGTCTTGCAAAGGCTATAGAGAGGAAAGGTCACTCTTAAGTGTCTGATATTTTCTTAGCAATTGTTGTTGAATGCACTTCCTTGTAAAAGTTTGCTGATTGATCGAGGTGTTCAAATTGATGATAAAACTTGTTATTTCTGTCATGGTTTGGAAGAACTTCCAACTCATTTATTTTTAACGTGTTCAGTTTCATCTCAAATATGATACTTTACTGCGCGTTGATTTGGATTCTCACTGGTTTTGCCTTTAGATATATCGACTCACTTGCTTTCTTAGGTTAGTGTTGGCAGTAGTAAAAGAGAAGGGATATGCTTATTAATTGTTTGAGTAAGTACAATATGGTCTTTGTGGGTACATAGAAATAGAATTGTATTTTCCAATGGTGTTTTGGATGAGAGAGAAGTTCTAGATTCTATTATTCTGAGGTCCTGGAAATGACTATCACTTGTTAGTAAAGGAGAAACTATTTTGTTAGCTGATTAGTATTTGAACTCACGAAATTGCATATGTCTTAGCTTTGTATAAGTATATTTTTGTTTTTTATTTCTCTAAGGTAGTAATTTTTTTTTTCTGTGTATATGGGTTTTGAATTCCTCTTGAACTCTCTCTAATAATATATGTTTTTCCTATAAAAAAAAAACTGCTATATTTAGGATGTCAATATTATTGGTCTATAAACTAATAAATTTAAGTCCAACAAATGTGAAGGAACTAAACATTGGCATATAACTCGATTGTAATTATATTACTTTTTTAATTAACATGTACTTATCATGTGATTAATATCTTCATCGTTATGTATATCATTGTCATATATATCCAATATAGTGTATTGTTTATCACTTGAATAAACTAAAAATTATGAAATTAATATAAAAATAATATGATTATGACCAAGATTTAGTTTCCTATGAATTTTTCTTTCAAAAATCACATCTTCATTTCCTTCAAATATTCTTCCATTATGATATACAAGGATAAAATTATCCTCATCTTGCATGTCTTTTTAAAAAAATCCTATAAAATATTATTCATCTTAATTTATTTAAATAGCATAATACAATTTTTTTAAAATAAGTTAATTGATTGTAATTTATTAAATACACAACACTAAGTAATATAAATCAAAATTATTAACAAATAAATAGGATTTTTATTAAATTTATTCATCAATATATTAATTTAAAAAAATCAACTGAGTAATATTACCAATTTATTCAATATATTCATCAATTTAAATTAATTTAGCCAACAAAAAATGCAAATTATTGAATATATAATTATTTACAATTAATTTAACTAGTAAAATTAACTAATATATTTATTAAATATATTAACTTATTCAAAGTAATTTAACTAAAATAATGATAAATATATATTTTGGGGTGTTGTTATACCTTATTTTCATACACTTGGCACATATTTAATAGGAATTTTACACTAATTTACTTACTAATTATTGCAATTTGATATGAATCAATCACCAACGAATTAAGAAAGCATTTCATTCATAATTTGAGAAAATTGATAGCATGCAAAGCCATGCGCACTAAGAAGCACAACCTTACTTGACAATCAACTTGAAAGTGCTTTGTGATCATGCACGATTGTGCTAGAAGATATGTACGATTGTGGTTATCTCTTATCGACTTAAATTTAAGAGATCATTTAGGGTTTGGAGAACCCATTTAAAGGAAATTATGGGACTTGTGAGAACAAGTTTTTGCCTTGTTGACTTTTGATGACTTTTAGAGCCATTTGAGAGTGACAATGATTAATGAAGACGAAGGATACCTTTTCAGAGTCTAAGCAAGTGATTGAGAGCATTTTTTAGAAATAAGAACTATTTTTTGAGATGTGAGACCATTAGGGGTAGTAGTATCTAGGGAAGAATGTTGACATTGCATGACTATTTGGTGTTAGTAGTTTTAGTATGAGTAATTGGTGATCATAGGAAAATCGAGATTGGGGTTAAACTAAAAGTTAACATAAAGAGATGTAAAGATGAAAATAAAAGTCTTAGATTCATCTCGAATAGTTTTCTTGTTAGAAGTTATGCTATTTTCTTGATTTTTTTTATTACCTTCTCATTTAATTCTTTCATACTTTTATTTTAGTTTATTATACATTATTTGGGTTCAAACAATTAAATCATAATATTCTTAAAAATTGAAAATAATCTTTGTGAGACGATATTTTAGGAACTTGATTTGAAAGCTTTATTAATTTTTTATGGGCCCACTACCTACGAACAAGTTTTTGTCACTGTGGTTGAACATTGTTTAGTAAGATTAAAAAAATTAGTGTTTAATTAATTTGACAAGTTTTTTTTATTTATTAGTTTTTTAAGTTTCTTTTTCTGCTTTGCATTTTATTATTATTTTTTATTTTCTTTGTTTATGAGCACTCATTCTAAGTCTCTTACAAGTTGCATATTTGATCCAAATATTGAAAATATTGTACATAGATAAAGGAAAAAGTTTAGAGAGCAAAGGATAATAAAGAGAAGAAGAATTTTGTAAGATTATTTCACACCTGTTGGCAAGGGTCTTGCTGGAAGTATTGCGACCCCTAATATGAAGGGCAATAACTTAAAGTTGAAGTTGACTTTAATCAAGATGATTAAGAATTCTATGCAGTTTGGAGGTTCACCCAATTAAGACCCTAACCTCCTTTTGAAGAAGTTCATGCAGCTCACTAATATTATCAAGTACAATAAGGTCACCACTGACACTAGATAGACTTTGCCTTTTCTCGTTCTTTGTCAGGAAAAGGTGAATGCATAGTTCTTGACGTTACCAACCAATTCCACCACGACATAGGATGATCTAACTCACTAATTTCTAGAGAAATAATTTCTCGCATCTCATTCTACTAAGCTCATCGCAAAAATATTTAGTTACAAGCAGTGAGTTTGAATCCCTATATGATGCTCGAGAGTAGTTTAGAGAACTTTTAAGGAAGTGCCCACACTATTATTTTTCTGTCTAGTAACAACTGCAACACTTTTACAATGAGCTATCAAGGCCATGGTTGATGCAACTTGTGGAGAGACCATAATGAAGGAAGATCCAAATAAGGTATATGCAATGATAGATGAGATGACAACCAACAATTTTTAGTGGCAGACAACTGACCACTACATGAGTAAAAGGAAGGATATTGCTCCGATCTATCAGGTTGAAAGTAACAATCTATTGACATATTAGGTGCAAGCTCTGA